TGATGGTGTCCCGGTCATGTTTTGATGGTGCCCCGGTCGCGTTGTGACGGTGTCCCGGTCATGTTTTGATGGTGTCCCGATCATGTTTTGATTGTGACCCAGTCATGTTGTGATGGTGTCCCGGTCCTGTTTTGATGCTGTCCCGGTCATGTTTTAATGGTGTCCCGGTCATGTTGTGATGGTGTCCCGGTCATGTTTTGATGGTGTCCCGGTCATGTGATGGTGTCCCGGTCATGTTGTGATGGTGTCCCGGTCATGTTTTGATGGTGTCCCGGTCGTGACGGTGTCCCGGTCATGTTTTGATGGTGTCCCGATCATGTGATGGTGGCGCGGTCATGTTGTGATGGTGTCCCGATCATGTTTTGATTGTGTCCCAGTCATGTTGTGACGGTGTCTCCGTCATGTTTTGATGGTGCCCTGGTCATTTTGTGATGGTGTCCCGGTTATGTGATGATGGTGTCCAAGGAAGAGATGGTCGATGCGTTGAAAACAGCAGCTGTTTCCAGATTTTTCTTTTTGTCCCGGTTTGTATCTTGCTATTGGGGTCTCCAGCTGGGCTAATTTTTTTGGGGTGGGGCGGGGGGCATTGTGAGGCACAGTGTTGTACTGAAGGACGGAACACCAAAAAAATGGTGCTGGAAGACTTGCACCATTCAACTGATGGCTCCAGCGGTGATGTTGCCCTCACACCCTTTCCATGCGCTGCCTCATGTTGAAACTTACAGACGCCTGGCACGATGGACTCGTAATGCCAAAGTGGAGCTTGTGGTGGACCCTGTCGTAGGCATGCGAGCTGCATTCCTCTTTTCTTCCTTGGGCTTATCTTAGGACTGCGACCTCCAACGGGACGTCCGTGGCACTTGATGAAGCTTCCTTGGCTGGGCTGTGGCCTTAGGTTTGGACCTAGAAGCCAAGGGTCTTGGGGTCTTTGGGCGAAAGCAGGCTCTCTTCCGAGTGAATCTAAGTCATGTAGGAATATGGCAGATGCAGATGCTGAGGTGCCAGCACCTCGTTTTCGGCACCTCGGCGCACAGTGGCACGATGGATCACATGGTCCGTTCTTGTCAATGTCAGGTGCTTTCTCGAGGTGTGATGCCCAGGAGGCGAGGTCGGTTTTGAAGTGCCTCGGTGTGTGGCTTCTGCAGACTTGGATGACGTTTCATTATATTCTTCATTTCTTCCGGATCCTCCTGTTCCGCAGCATTCTTGGCTCACCATCGGATTGCACTTGGCACTTCCGTAGATTGGCTTCAAGGATGTTTTCCTGCTGCTGCGCGGCTGACGTGAGCGGACGGGAGGCAGAGCTCCCAGAGATTCTCCACCAGAAAGTCCTCGACCCAAATGCCTCAGAAGCCCTGCAAGAGCTGCCGGTGGAGGAGGAACCGCAGGAGGCACCGGCATCAGCACCGCCAGCAGCCCCGGAAGCGCCGAAAGGGACGCCCGAGGTGGGATCCTTTACCGTGTTGGTGCCCGCGGGAGAGAATTCAACGCTTGGAGTGGAAGTGGATACAACATCCATGGGAGGTCCCATGATCAAAGGCGTCAATGAGGGTGCTGTTTTGGACTACAACAAGCTCAACCCAACTGGGTCCATTTTACCCTTTGATGTGGTGACAGCTGTAGGTAAGGCTCAAGAGACAAAAGGCATCGAAGCCATTGTCGAGATGATGAGTGGCGAGATGGTTGGAGATATGACCTTGACGCTGAGTCGGCCCCAGAAGATTCAAGTTTCACTTGCCAAAACCTCAACGCTGGGCATGAAGTTGGATTTCACGAGTACGTCAGTTGGCGCTGTCGTGCGCGAGATCCTGCCATCAGGCTTGGTGGCCAGCTGGAATGCTGAGCATCCAGACAAGTCTTTGTCTGCCAACGACAGGGTCATTGAGCTGAACGGCCAAGCCTACCGTGGGCAAGACTTGGTGCAGGCCATGAAAGAGGAAAGCGAGCTGTTGCTCACAGTGCTCAAGTATCGGACCTGAGAATGGGTGTGAAGTGCTAGTGGCGATGAATGTTTTTTTCTGACTGGTTGCTGAGCCTGGGAATCCATTGACTCACCAGTTTGTCTTTCCAAAGGAAAGATGATGAAAGATGCGCGGAACATCCTTAGCTGCTTTAGGACCGAGAGTTCGTTGGAACGAGAGAAAAGGCTCTCGAACTTCAGCCTTTGGTGTCTCTTGTGGCTTTAGCCTTAGCTGTGCAGAGCTGGGCCAAGTAACGACTTGATTGATGACTTTATTGACATGCAGGCGGCATGGCGGTGTCAAGCCTTTGATTCGTACATGTCGCAGCCAGGCCCGACAGCTTTTGGAGGGGCATTTTGAGGGGGGATGTGCAGTCTTCCAGGCAAAGGGGCTGGACCACCAGGAGCCTCAGTCCATCTACTTCCTGGCTTCATGGCAGCAAGTATCAGCAAGTAATTCTCAGAGAGATGCCCCGGAAGATGCAATTTTCCAGAAGTATTTTGGGAGATATCTCACCACTATTCACCAGTTGGATGACGTGGCTTGAGGCACACTACAACTTTTGTGACCATCTCTTGTTCTACGAGGCTTAGCTGACTGCCAGTTTATAGCTTCAGTATGACGGAAACACAGACAAGCCAGCACAAATGATTTATTGTAACATATAGCACACACACACACATATATATATATACACATATATATATATATATACACATAAGATCATGATAAGACAAACTGGTACAACAGAAGATAGGAAACAATCTTTTCAAATGGTAGACATTCCCGGTCAGTTGGACCATGATTTCAAACAGACGACTGACAACATCAAGAAAATCTCCGTTGGAGAGCCCAGCACTCTAGCCACAGCAGAATTCTCAGACAATCAAAGCTGGGAGGAGAGCCAAGAAAAAAGAAAGGAACAGAGAGCACGAACAGACAGGAAACGGACATGGCCAAAGGAAGCGGGAAAGGAAACAAACAATGGATAACAAGGACAAGGAATTGAACGGGAGAGGAAAAGAGAAAGGAAACGCGGACATGAGCATGGAGGGCCAGAAGAAACGGACACTGGATGGACAAAGGGAGCACAGAAGAAAGGAAAAGGAGGGAGGAGGAGACGGATATCGGATATAGAATCTAGAATCGGTAAAGGAGAAGAAGACGAAAGAGAAATGGAGAAGGCAAGCGGAGGAAAGGAGAAAACAGAAGGGATGAAAAGGATTAAACCGCCTCAGTTGTCCCAAATATATCTTCTATTGTATTTGATTTGGTTGCGAGCCTCTTCTGTTTGAACTGTCTGGGTGTGGACATCGGGCACGCTTTTAAACAGAAGGTTCTGACAACTAGATTCTTCCAGAATAGGCATCCGTATTATATACACATGTAGAACAACTCCCCCAACTTGGACTACAAAGCCATTCTTTTTATGGTTGGATGTCTATGCTGTGTGATTTGCATGCAAAAATTTATCTCCGGATTTGGACCAGGACGGCCATTTTCAGCATGGCTCCGATTTTGCGTTCGGTGGCAGTGATGGACATGGCAATTGGCGGCTGGAGGGCGAGGAGAGGGGGGGAGAGTGGTAAAATGTGGGTTTCCCTTGGCCTCGATGTTTGTTTCTTCTTGATGCTCAACCCCTTTTTAGCGTATGTGCTTGTTGTTGTTGTTGTTGTTGTTGTTGGGTAGGGCTTCACCTTTCTTTCTTCACTTCAATTCTTTCTTCTCAATTCCTGTCCCGCATTGTTCTTTGCCTTTCTCAGTGCGGTCAGCATGGCTTGGTCGACCCATTGCCTGCCTTCGGAATTTGGAGCCTCTTGTTGAAAATGGCTCCAATGGTGCGAGGTCAAGTGTCTTAATTTGAGGAAACATTACAGAACGGCATTGGAGTTTGTGCACATGCAGCATGCTTTGTTTTCTTTCACCTAGCATTGTGAGCACCTGACTCAAAACTGGGTTGAACCACAGCACCTGAACGCGCGTCGTGGCAATGGTGCGGAAAACCGGCGGGCTGCTACTTCTGCCCCTCGGCAGGCATTTTCTGGGCAGATTAGCATCCCTCTCGTGAAATTAGTGAAGGGTGATGATTCTGATGCAATTGGTTTGCGAGGCTCCTATGGCCTAGCGGGCTTCTTATCAACTTCAGTCTTCCTGACACGACAGAGTTGCTCAGAGTTATTGGAACAGTTGCAAGTGTAGATAGGTCATGAAAGATTTTTTGAGAGCAATAGGATATTTCTGCGTAGATTTCACTGCCACTCGAGTACTTAGCTGTGGCTTCTACCCAGGCAAAGGCATGCTGTGGTGACAGGAGCCCCATTTGGTGGCCAGTGGACATGCTGTGCTCTTTCATGTCGAGTACAAATCAGGGACTTTTTCGCACTTCGAATGTCCAGTGTTGCACTGTTTTTGCTCAGTGCCCCGAGTTTGAAGCCGACAGTCAGGAGCTGCAGGGTATTTGGGACGAGAGCTTTGCGCGCAGCTCCTGGAAGATCATTGGAGGGTCACCGCCTTGGTGAGAGAGGTGCGGCAGATGAGCTGTCTGGGATGCGGAAGGATGCTCGCAATGGCAAAAGTCCCTCATGCCATCGTCCAGGTTCTTGCCTTCATCCCTTTGGTCCTTTTAGGCAATCTGCACTCAGACTGGAAATCATCCTGTTCGCATTCGGAAGATCGTCTTCTTGGCCATGACATCCACTTCCATGGTGAGTAGGAGGGTAGACAACAAGTACGTCTTTTTTCCAAGTACGAAACCTTTGTCTATGCCCAAACACCACCCAAACTGGATAGCTACAAGCACAGCTACCAGGCATGGGGGCACGCAACTGGGGCAACCGGCTCTTAAGGGGTACAGCTGCTCACACGCACCAAGAATCGGCAGCTTCTTGGCTCGGACCAAGATGTTGTTTCAGAGGGTTTTGCCTAAGAACAATTTCTCACTTCGAGTGATTCAATTTATATAATATACCTCCCTACTAGCCTACTAGTCATAACCCTACCCGTACAACTCTGTCTTCATCAATTGTTGCACCATGCCCTGCTGATAGATGTAGACTCAATGTAGACTTCATTGAAACATTTTGCATGCTGCGGCCATGCCTCTATCCGGCAAATTAGCTTGCCGCGTGCTGCTCTACTCGATTTCTGGCATTCCTCTACTGGCTTTGGGATGGTCATTGCTGCTCCTTTGTGGTGCTTGGCTGGCTCTGACTGGTTTCTGGACGCTTTTGGAGTTCGGGGCTCTTCATTATAAATTCCGTTCAATGCCTTTCCTCTTCCGATTGCTGCTGAGCTATGCGTTCACCGCGCTTCTTGTGTGCTGTGCCATGATGAGTGATCTCGGTGCCGTGCCCCTGCGCGGTGCGCTGGGTGCGCTTCGTGGTGTGAAGACGATCTCGGTGGTGTTGCCCTGCGCGAACGAGAGCTTCGTGCAACGCACAGTGGAGTCGATCTGGGCGAACACACCCAAAGAGGAGCTGCTGGAGATTATCATTGTGGACGATGCCAGCTGGCCGCCGGTGACCTGCCATGATTTGGCGAGATGCCCATGTAGCACTGAGTTTTGGTCGATGCCCGGAACCGGCAGGTGACCAGGGTTGTTTTGAGGCTGCGGGCCCTGGGGCTGCGGACCACTTTTGAACCCATTCCGTTTTGGAGCTGAAAGTGGCAATCATATTTCGGGTGGTTGTACTCCGAAAGATTTGCGCTATTCGTACCTGTAGCTCATATTGTCCTCCAGGTAACGGTGCAGAATCCGCGCGATGTGTTCCTCTCTGGCCACGTGCGGATTCTCCGCCAGTCCCCCGCTATTGGCCTCATCCAGTCCAAGCAGCGTGGTGCTGAGGCCGCCAATGGCGATGTTGCCTGGCGGGGGAAAGGCCGTAGAGATAAGACGGAATACACTTTGTGGACTGAATTCTGCTAAGCGGCCCCAGACAATTTACATTTTCATATGGGCAAGTTATGCTGAGAAGTCGAGGCCATTGTGTTCCTCGATTGCCACGTGCGGCCGATGCCCAACTGGACAGCACCGCTCCTTGCGGAGCTGCGGTTGAACCCTCGGCGCATTGCCGTTCCGCTCATTACGGGGCTGAATCCTGACACATGGGAGGCAGGGTGCAGGTCCTTGGTGTTTGGCTCTTTGGGCGTCCTTGCCCTCAAAACCTAGACTCCCTAGACCCAATAAAGCTCCTAGAAAGCTGCGCCAAATTGCAGGAGCTTTCTCCACAAGAGGGTGGCAAGAAGATGTGCCTCACATGGTCCGTTGATTTCTTTTGGTGCAACGAGCTTTCAGGGATGGACGTGCCCATTCTGAGTGGCGGGCTTCTGGCCATCTCAAGAAGTTGGTGGCACGAAAGTGGAGGCCACTTTGGCTAATCGGTTCATCAGGGTGCTAGAGTTGGGTTGGCTGACGGCCATGTTTTGGACTAGTGACTAGATGATCAGTACGTACTACAGTTACATCAACACTACTCCTGCTTGTGGGCACCATTTTGGAGCTATTGAATTGAACGCCTCCAGAGAATCAGAGAGGAGCGGAAGTTGAAAGCAACGTGGGAATCAATAGCTTCACAGGCAAAAGGATGTGGCAATCAACTGAGGCTACGACTCATCGATGCGCTCCTGGGGTGGCGAGAACATTGACCAGTCCTTGCGTACTTGGCTTTGTGGTGGTGAAATCGTTTATGCTGAAGGCTCCCGAGTGGCGCCCCTCGTCCGCAGTGCCTCCGGGTGCCCAGGCATGTGGCGTAAGCCTCAGAAAGAGATCGGCCAGAGTGTTGAGAGGGGTCGGGAGGGTGCACAACATATTGTCAGTAGATGTAGAATCATTTAGAGGTTCTCCCACATCACATTCAATGGTTACACTTTTGGGCACCTGGACCTGCCAACATTTGAGTCACGTGCGTTTGCGGGATATATTTTTGCATGCAGACTGAAGGCACATGTGGCGGGATGCCGGCAATCCCAAAACCGCCCTGCACTACTCCATCCCGGAGCGCGATGTCTTGAGAAACCGCTTGCGTGCAGCTAAAGCGTGGATGGGGCCATGGGTGGAGAAGGTGCAAAGCTTTCAAGAATTTGAGAACATTGATGTTGGAAGCCTATCAAATTTCGATGAGCTGAAGAATCGCTTGAAGTGTGGCATGTTTGAAGACTATTTGCGGAGGTTCGAGGCCTTGTTTTTTGGAACTGGCATGTTGCCCAGTTCTGTTTTTCACTTGAAAGCCGCGAATGGAAAGTGCCTAACATTGGACCTGTATTCTCGACAATTGTTTGGCCATAGCTGCATTGAGGACTTTGAAGGTCAAATCTGGCATCGGTCGAATGCCTTAGGAAAGGACGACCTGCAATGTTGCAGTGGATTGAAGCTGTGGAACTACAACTATTGCTTGGCTTGGTATGGCGGCCAGGTTCAAGTTGTAGACTGTTCATACTTTGGGACCTCCAAGTACCAGGATTTTCAGATTGTGATAACGAACGAGGTAGAGGGAGAAGCAATCATATCTGTGCCGGACATTGAAGAAACCAAGCAGTGCTTGAATTCTGGGCAAGTCTCACGGCCAGCGGTGCTTTTAGATGTGTCTCAGGCAAACTGGACGTTCCCTGAGCTGGAGCTGGTCAATGAGGGTCTTTTTCGTGCTGTCGCAGCTTCAGGACGTTGCCTCATCACCGAGGTCGGCCTTCAATGGGGTTCCTGTGAGTCAGCTGCAGGCTTGGAGGTCATTGGTGAGGATGAAGGGCGAAAGCAGCTGCAGATAGCTGACCAATGTTTGGATGCTGCTCAAGGTACCCACATTGCACTCTACCCATGTCATCCAAGAGAGGAGCGCATTCCAAATCAGCTCTTCATTGCAGAAGAGGGTGGGCCACTGTGTTGGCCATTTGGGGATGCGGATGGGTCACCAGATTCCCGCTTGCGATGCTTGGGTGAAGGGGAGCTGGAACAGCCCCAAGTAATGCTGCAACCATGTGCCAACAGCCCTGTCAAGGCAACCCTCAGTGATCACGGGCAAGTGTTTCACAAACATTCGCAGGGTGAAATGTTTATTCTGAAACTGGAATCTGGCCATTGCCTCGGCGTTGATTTTGAGAAACCCATGCAGGTCAATGGGGAAGACGCCTTCCCTTTATCTGTCGGTCAGGCTGAGTGTTCTCAATCTTGGATTCATCATGAACATTCACTCGCCCTGTCTTCGGATGAGGACTGGTGCCTTTCGGCCAATGACTTTCAGCATCCGGTGGTCACCAGTTGTTGGCCCGAGGACCTGTCCCAGCACTTCGAAGCACAGCGTTTGGAAGGCCCTCAGAAAAACACTCCGCTGGTGGCCCTCCGGAAGCGGCCTCACTGGGTGGACAGCGGCCGGCAGCGCTTCCCTGCGCTCTGCCTTGACACATCGCGGGAGGGGGCTGCGCGGGAGCCCGTGCGTGTGGCGCAGTGCGAGGAGGCGAGGATGGAGCAACTGTGGACGTTGGAGTGGGAAGTTGTGCCGCTGGAGACCCGACTCTTCCGCGAGTGAAGGAGCGTCTAAGCATGTGTCGGATTTGTGCTTGCGTAGACCTTCGGTGCAGGCTTCGGGTGCGCAGAAGTGGGACTCAAGATGGAGAAGACAGGAACTTCTGCTCTCGTTGGACTCTGTTCACGGTCGATCTCACCAGCTGAATGAGATGCCAAGTAAAGACGACCGACGTTTCTGGATGAGTCGCTCTTCAAGTTTAACCATCGCCGCGACACTGGCATACAAGAGCTCTGGAGACAGAATCAGCATGGCACGTCAACTGAAAAGTGTGTCAGCTTTTTGAGGCTAGTAGCTGGGCCCCAGCTAAGTGAGTCTCATGGACGCATCCAGATGCGTGAGCCATTTTTTGTGCAGGTTTCAGCTGAGCGTGCGCAAGCCCTAGCAGAGCTGGCCAAGGATATTGGTGGTGACTTCCAAATTCTTTCGCTGCTCGGTAGCATGTTGGGAACCAAATTCAGAATGTAGAATGCTGCTCCTTTTGGTGAAAGGGCCAAACCATAACTCAAGAGTCACGAGAGGGAGACGCAAGTTCGGTTGTACTGGGAGTGTTGGGTGGTGCGGGTGCCGTATGTTTTGTATGATAGCCACGCGTCCTATATGGCTTCCTTCCTTGGTGGCCTAAACTTTTACCCCAGTGGAAGGCCAACAGCGCATTCTTGGCCTTGCCCGACCTGGCTAAAGTGGCCAGACATGGCTAGACGGGCTTCCTGGATAATGATGATAATGGGGTGATTGTAGCTTTGGTGTTCTGTGGATAGCTTCGGAGGCTCGATCTTCTGGATGATGTGGCCTTGCAGCAGACTATGACAAGCTTAAGGCCTTGGTGATGGGACAGTGTTGACGACATGGATTCACCAGGTTTCTGGCAGTACCTCTCTCGATTTGGATCTGTTGGCTCAAGCTTGCGAGCAGCCTACGGGCCAAACGAGACCCAATGTGAATGTCCCATGGGTCAGCAAGCTTCCACTGAGAATCAGGACCTGGAGGATGGGGTCAAAACAGTGGTTCTCATTCATGGCCTTGCCTCCTGCGCTCTCAGAGGAATTGGGGTCGAAGGTGCAGCCGGCTTCTTGTGTGACAACTGTCGGAGCGGCAACGTGTCTCGCTTGGTCTATGTGAGCATCAGTGAGCTTGCCAAGCGGCCCTACATTGTGAAAGGCTTAGGCCTGGCATGGGAACCAGCAGTGTCTAAGGATGGAGTGGAAACAATGAATACATCACATGGATATCATAATATTCTGGTCAATCCTGTTGAGGGCTTGGATGGTATCAAATCCTTGAATCCGGGAGCTGAGTCCAACCTTGCTCCAATCCTTCTTTGGCAGACGGTCATTGATTCGCTCTCGGACTTCAATTTGTTGGCCATCAATTACGACTGGAGACGATGGGGCGACCTCATCTACATTGAGCAGCTGGTGGAGAAGTTTCAAAATCAGGTTCAGATGGCTGTGCGCATCTCTCGGCAGCCCACGGTGATGATTGCTCACTCCTTGGGTGCACAGGTGATCACGTACATGATGGGTGTTCTTGGAGCTGCGTGGACTCAAGCGCATATCTCTGATGTGATTCTGGTGGGCCCTGCCACCATGGGATCTCCTTCAGTCTTTGCGGCATATGCCAATGGCCCCTCCACGATCACCCACTCATCAGTGGTACCTGTGGCCAGCTTCTTGGAGCAGAGGCTCAGGGATGTGGCTTCCACTTGGCCAGGATTGTTGAGCGTGATGCCAACAGCCTTGGATGGGCTGGATACCTTTGGTGGACTTTTGATGGCCGAATCACCTCAGAAGACCTATGGTGGAATGAGCAGTGTAGAGTTTCTGGAAGATTTAGCAGCTTGCGAAGACGATGAGGCATTTGATGAAAACACTCTTCACGAGCGTGCCCGCAAATGGATGGAGAAGCATTTGGTCCTGAATGCGCACCGCGCGTGGCGGAAAGAGTTTCAAAACGCTGCGGTGATGCGGAAGGGGTTTGAACTGCACGTGTCTCCGAATCTCAGGCCGCCCAGCTGCCGAGTGCACGTCATTTATTCGGATGGCATCGATACCCCTTCCAGGATGAAGTTTCAGCGGAACTTGTACCACAAGTGTCAGATAGTGGGCTTTGAGAAAGGCGATGACACACTAACGGCCAAGAGTGTGGAACAGATGTGTGCAGCCTGGACGAATGCTGGTGTTCCACTTTCAAAGCACAATGCAGGACACGTGCACCACAAAGAACTCATCTCTTGCCCCTTTACATTGAATGTTGTGCGTGATGTGATGGCAAAATATCTTGATTCCCAATCTGAGTCCGAAAGCGAAGATGGATGGTGTGCAGCCTACTAGGGCCTAGCCCTTTCAGAAAAGAGTGGGGCTTCAACAGCAGAGCTGAATTGCTTCGATTTTACCTTCATTCTTTCCGTTTCCGAAATGTAAATGACATGTATATATATATATATAACTAATTAATTTATACATTCAATTGGTTCGGTGATGTTTCTTGCTTCGATGCTGCATTTGCGCTACTCGGAGCGTGCGGGGATACTAAAAGGCCTACTTGAAATCATCATTTGCCTTCATCTTCGTGGCCGGCTGACAGGGACCCCCCCCCGTACTCAGGGGATACGTGCCCAACTTGCAAGTGCCCAGCAGTCTTGACATGTCGCCTAATTGAATCTGGGTAGGTGTGGCACTCACCAGCATCCAATTGCAAATTCGCCTGTCTTGTGACAAGCCGTCGGATTGTGTGAGGCCCAGTGTGATCTTCCACGCGGGGGGGCGTGTTTCGGCGCTGTAAGAAGCCCATGGAAGAGATGGTGGAGCCCAACATTGCGATGGCAGAGGCGTCACGGATTCTCATGCTCGCTGTAGGTCACTTGGAGCAGTGAATGGCGATTGCTCTTTGGTTGCTTTGTTTTGGCTCATTTGTAGCGGCCGGGTAACATGCACATAATGTCAACATCAAAGGCTGTACAGGCTATATCGAGTTATCACCAGTCACTAGATCAACAACTAGGACTCTCAACATTGCATTGTAACGCAGTTCGAATGATGTTGAATGACATGCACCTTCGCTGTGACTGATTAACAGTCCCAGTTGGATTGACAATAGGTCTCCATGGTTGTGTTGAGGACGTTTTGCATTTCGAGTGCTTGCTTCATCCTTGACATTCTGTGAATGTCCATGTTGAGAGTGAATGTGATTCTCTTGAGCGGTCGCAGTGCAGTGGTGGCAGCTTCTCCGACCACCAGCGTCGGAGAACTCAAAGTGGCTGCCCAGCAATCCTTGGGGCAGGGCTTCCTAAGACTTGTTTCTCTGGATGGCCACTTCTTAGACCCCAGCCTGGCACTTCATAGCGTGCTTCAAGACGGAGACGTGGTGTGTGCGGTGGCGCAAGCGGCCAAAGTTGCCGCAACAGAGAGAGCCTTTGCTTTAGGTGTTGGCCGCGTGGTCACCTGGGGCCACGTGAAAGATGGTGGAGATTGCGTACAGCACAGGTCGCCGGTGCATCTCCAGGCCACACAGCATGCGTTTGCAGCGATTTGGGCTGATGGCAGTGTCACGACCTGGGGTGATTCGAGAAAAGGTGGATACAGCAGTGAAGTCCATGAGCAGCTCCATGAGGTTCAGGAGATTCAGGCCGCTGGGTCATATTTAGATACAAGACGTAGAGTTTCTAGAATTTGTATGTGCTTGGAACATAACCCGTGGAAAGCATGCCATATATATATATAGCCATATATCTTGATTGAATACATTCTACTAGACAAAATGAGCAGTGTTTTGTATTGAATGATAAACTTAGATTAGACTGTTTGTAACTCACCCAATGTTCGAAGGCACGGCATTTGTGTGATACATTATGTGAGGAGAAGGCTCGCGAAGCCTCTTGCGTGGATTCACGCAGGCGAAGCCAATTCGCGTGAAAGGTTGCGAAATCAATTCGTGAAGCCTCTGGTGTCACGCGAAGCCTCGCGAAGCCAACCTTCCCACAAATTCTGACTATGCGAGCCCCCCAGAAAAGAGAGGTTTATTGTGAAAGAACTTGGGACGGCTCAGTGGACAGCCTCTGCATACCCACTGATCGCCTCTGCCTCGCGGTGCGACCCGTGGCAGTGGACAAGGGCCCTTCAGTCCAGTGGGTGCCCAAACAAGCTCATCCGCACGGTCAGCAGCTTCACCCAACTCGCAGATCTCACAGAACCCCGCTTCGCCCCGACACCGCTTTGGGACTGGGGCAAGCGATGCCCACACCTGGGTAGATCCTTCAGGGTGGTTGGCTCTCTGCTTATCCCAGCCCTTCTGTGAATGAGGTCTGAGTGGTTCCAGCTCCAAGTTGATCCGGAGGTGTGCATGTGCCTTCCAGAATGTGAGCCTAGGTCCTAGGTGCCAACATTTTTTTGGAGATGCTTGGCTCCCTGCTGCCTGCATGCCGCCTTCCTGATGGAACATTGGGGGGTGACGCCGGCTACACATCCGATACTTCAATGGTTCCTGACAACCAGGGCAGCACCTCCTCGATGATGAGCCAATCCACCAAACAAATGCCCACAGCGGCTATTCTCATGCAACTGGCGCTTGCTCTCCGCGTGAAATGTGATTCCAACCAATGGCCCCGTGACATACACAGAGACGCTTTCTCTCACGCACCCAAGCCTACACGGTTTTACACTTGACCCTCCTCTCAATGTGGGACGAGTGCTGAGATCCTATCGTTTGATGACCCACTTCGGATCGGCGGGAGCTTAGGCAGCACAGCCCAAATCCCATGACCCATCAGGGGTTTGACCCCGCAGAAGAACCTACCAGGTATATCAAAAGGTGTGCCGCATCTTTTGGGATTGACATTTCAAGATGCACTGTTGGGAAAACATCCCTTTTCGTCCTGAAGAGGGCAGTTGCTTGGTGACCCAGTGCCCCAGACACAGCAAGCAGCCAAGCCTAAGCGCAGCGTTCGCAGCCCACCTTTCTCCCACCTTCGCTTCACCAAGTTCAGCTCAACGGTTCGACCCAAAGGCGTGTCCAACAGGTGCACAACCCTTCGAAACCGGCGTGCGAAGTCCCCCACCGTGCATCAGCATCCTTCGGCGTGGCCCTCGGACCGTTCCAAATATAGAGGAAGGCACTCTGCTGTGGAAGAACTGGGCACCAGGAGCCGGAACCACAACCAAGCTAATCTGACATGAGACTTGCACGCCAGGCCACGGCGGATGCCTTCGCAGCGCTCCGGGCAGATGGAAGGGTCGTCACATGGGGCGACCGGGCAGGTGGTGGTGACAGCAGTAGCGTGGAAACCCAGCTGCGAGAGGTGCGGCACATCCAAGGCAAAGACGGAGCCTCCAAACATGGGTTGCAAATTTGATGTGATTTGCAAAGATGAAGAGGATGAATATACAATTAATTGATGTTGTTGTTTGGTATTGTTTGGTTCTTCATTTGTTGCAGATCTTGCTATTTCCAACTCACACGTTTCCCACTTAACAGGCTGGATGTCTTTTTTACAAGTCTATGAATCATAGTCTATCACTGGCCCTGTTGCAGGCTCAAAGGGAGCATTTGCTGCAATTCTGGGTGATGGATCCGTGGTCAGCTGGGGTGATGCACGTCATGGTGGTGACAGCAGCGCGGCCCAGGCTCGTCTTCAGCAGGTGCAGCACATTCAGGCAACCAGTGGCTTGATGTGCACCACCTGGCACCAACGGTTTTCAAGTGCCCCCCTGCCTATCGCCCTGTTCTCATTCTTTGTACTATTCTTTGTCAAATGTATAAGTATTTGGTTTTTTTCCTTGGCCACTTTTGGTCCAGTGAGGTAGTGCCTTTTGGTCCAGTGAGGTTCTTCGGAAGCCGCGCCCACGTGGCGCCACATGTGTTGGGAATGTGAAGGTTTCTCAAATACCAGAACCTTCGAGCCCAGTGATCTCTTTCAGCAAATTCTGGGATGGCCCATGGGCATAAACCACGAATACGATGCCGCTGTGCTAGCACATTTGGCCGATGTGCGCAGACGTCTGCTTGACCGGCGCTATCGCGCCATCTAGCGCATACCTGTGGCGTCGCTAAGGTGGATGGGTCTACTTGGCCGTCTACCTTGTCAAACCAAGCCCTTTGCAGCAATCCTAGCCGATAGGAGTGTGGTGACTTGGGGTCATCCTGGATACGGTGGCGATAGCAGCCTCGTGCAGGATCGACTCAAGGATGTTTGGAGGATCCAAGCCTCACGACGAGCTTTCGCAGCCATCCTTGCTGATGGCTCGGTCGTTGCCTGGGGCGACGAGCACTGCGGGGGTAGACCGGCTCGTGGGGTCCAAGACCGGCTCACAGATGTTCGACACATTCAAGCGTCCTTTGGTGCCTTCGCCGCCATTTGCTCCGATGGATCAGTCGTGGCTTGGGGCGATCCGCTCCGTGGGGGTGACTGCTCGGGCGTGCAGGAGCAACTGAAAGAGGTCCAGGCCATTCAAGCTGTGTGCGGAGCTTTTGCGGCCATCCGGAAGAATGGTTCGGTAGTGACCTGGGGTGATCCAAAGTATGGTGGAGATAGCAGTGAGGTCCAGGCTCAGCTGCGCGAGGTGAAAGAGATTCAGGCCACACGTACGGCATTTGCAGCCATTTTAGCGGATGGAGGTGTTGTGGCTTGGGGTGATCCAGAAGATGGCGGTGATTCTCGCCCAGTCCAACATCAACTGAGAAACGTTGAGCAGATTCAGGCCTCAGCTTATGCTTTTGCCGCGGTGTTAAAAGATGGCTCCATCGTGACCTGGGGCCTTCCAGAATGTGGAGGAGAGTTGCCTGGCACTTTTCAACACCAGCTGATGAACCTTTAGGAACTTGAGCTGCAGCTTCGCCTGTCCCCCGACTCCCTGTGCAATATGTCCAAAGTCGCTGAGTCTTTGCCATGTTTGACTTTGAAGCTTGCAACACCTGAACAGCACAAAAGGCTCTTGAAAGTGTTTCACCGTTCGTTCTGTTCCCGTCCCTGTTCTGGATTGGCTTTATAAACTTTATAGCCTTGGGGCGCGAAAAAGCAGCTTGCTCTTGTTAGTCGCGTGATCACAGAGACGCAGACAGACAGACACGTGTTTCAGCCCAGCCACATTTTAGAGTTGAGATTGACCACCGTCCAAGTGAGTAGAGAGTGCCAACTTGCCCCTCTGACTTCAAAGAGGCTGTGGTCCGCGCAGCGGCAGCCGCCCCATCGCGGCCAAGGGTTGTTTACACATCCTCAATGGCGGGGGCTCCAGAAAACGGAGCAGCTTGGGCACGAGCTGAGCTGGTGGTTTGAGCTGAAGAATCACATCTGAAGAATCACCAGAAGACCCCGACCATTTTCACTTCTTCATCTACCAGTGAGGCATTTCACCATCCATCCTAATTATGAAGTCACTTATGAAGTCTTCTAGTGGGAAAGATTGGCCATGGCCACACTTGTGTGCGACTGCCAGGGCAACCAAGCTTATCATGGGTCTGCAGTGGATCATGATCCGGACACGTTGGTTCCTCCATTAGTGATCATCCTTGTGGCAAGTGTTTTGAACGAAGTGTCAGGCTGCAGTGCGGGGCCCAGGCCAGGAGCCTCGCAAGGGGCAAAGATGTTTTGATGAGAAGGAGACGTGGTGAGATCCTGTAAGCCTGTCACTATTTTGCATGATGGCAGACATGTGTGCAGGACTTCAACTCACAGTCACATCCAGAAAACGGCTGGGGGGAAGCATATCAATACAGCAGCCTGGCCTGTTTGTATAGTCACCTTTGTTGGACATTGGCTACGGAAGATATCAACACTTTCAACGAGCTTTTGCCTTCCTTGTGGTTTTGAGTGCCTGGATGTTGGGAGCAGGCAAGCGCGAGTCTGAACTTCGGGTCGCGGCCATAGAATCATAGAGTAAATGTGGTTCGTCTCAGACCATCCCAAGACAGGACGGGAAGGGAAAAAGATGAGACAAATGCGAAGCTGCTGTCATTGAAACCGATTGGAGGCCAAATCCCTGGCGGAAGAGCTGCAGGTTGACTTTGTGCCGGCGCCCCAGTCCCGGCGTCGGGTCTTTCTGATCCTGGACTGGTGAGGTAATGGCTGCCCTACTTACTCAAGCTAAGCGGGGGACAAGGGGATCAACAGGACAAGACTCCGACTTGAAAAACAAGCGACCTTGTTACTAGTAGCGATGCCCTTGTTACTAGTAGCTTCTGTTGCCACTTCTTTGAGCAATGTGAGTCGGAACAAGGTGTTTGTCAACAGTCTGACATCGTGCGCGAGCGAGACGAAAGGTCCTCCTTCTCGACACCGATGACACACCTGTCACCCACCGTTGGTGGTTTCCGAGGTCTCTTTGCCCCTCCTTCATCCTGGGGCCAGAGCGAGGGTCCAGCGACGGTTCCGGTTTTTCTGTGAGCCGGGCACTCGAGACTGACTCGTATGGAGGTCGGGGTAGCACTGGGCAGCACCCGGCCAGCCCCGGGGTGGCTGCATGGCATTGGCGGGTGTAGACTGACAATCATATTGGCCCTTTCAAAGGGCGTCTATCCAAGTTGGATCGAGGCGAGCTGAATCCTGGCTGAGGCATGGTGCTCTCATGGATGAAGGGTGCCTGGTGCCCAAGGGGTGTCCATATGGGCATTCAGAGCCAGGATTCAAAGTGCCATACAATGAGACTGGTTGGTTCTTCCTTACTTACTGTAAGTTCTGTTCCACTAGCCCTTCTCCTCGGTCTCACTGCCGCAGAGAGCTTTGGAGTTTTGCTTTTGTTGAGCTCGGGCCCCTGCATGATTGACTTTAGTATCGATCTACCTACAGTACCTATTTGTGCATGCATGGAATCAAAAAAGGATTGAGATTTGGACCGAGGAGCAGAAGGTGCGCAGCCTCCTCATTGCTGATGTGCGTGATGTGGCCACTGCTCACGTGGCTGCCGCGAAAGCCCCGAAGAAGGGCGGACGCTTCATCGTCAGCACGGAGGCGTGCGGATGACGCCAGATATCTTTCATGCTGGAGCGTGGAGGAGGAATTATATACCTATATATATATATATTCTGAAATGTGATTGGTGGATGAATAAGAAGAGTCAGTTCCTTCATGCTGTGTTTTATATAAGAGATGCTGTTTCGTCAGTGAGGTTCGTCCAGTGCCAGAGGAAGTGGCGGCAGTGCCTTGGACCAGCAAGGATGGATGTTCGAAGTTGGCACGAGCAGTTTGAAGTAGCTTGCTGCAACTTGCATAGTTGGAAGGCGTGACAAACCCTGCGCTGCAGGTGCTGAGAGAGGTGGTCGCTCCTGCCTGGGGTGCCGATTCAGCCAAAACCATCACTGCTGCGGCCGCACCTGGAGATGGGCCAGCCTGCATGCGTGCACTTGGCGGCATTTGTTCTACCAAAAGGGGCAGAAGCATGAAAGGCAGCAGGCCTTTCAACCTACACACCAGCCCAAATCGGAACCTCAATGACCTCTGAAGAGAATCGATGCAGAAAGAGCGATGCCATGAGTTGGACCTGGATTTTCCTAAGGCCCTGGTGCCCATGAGGTCCGCTGCACTCAGCAGCTCCGGTCAGCGCTGGGCCTGACCTGTCGCGATGCGCTGGTGACGGCGGGGAGTGCCCAGGAAGCGAGAACAGCCCCTCAGGAGTCATTCGGAAGCGGGCGAACAAAACAAGATCATCCTCACCTCGTTGGCCAACTTGGGTCAAAAGTGTTTACCCCAACATATCCCAACATGGTTATGGTTCGATTGGTTGAACGCTCCGTTTTTTTGTTTTGATGGTCCGAGGTCCGGGACATGGCTTCCCACTTGGTGTCGACCAAAGAATTCTGCTGCTTGGGTGTCGTCGTTGTCTTCGTGAATCGCTTGGCAATGCTTGGCATGCATTGGAAAGAAGCAGCCCACACTCCAAATTGAGCAGCATCGCTTAGCCTGAGACTCCAACAGAAGCCTTGGAGATGCAACGGAATGTCAATCCAGACCGCCAATTCTTAATCATAGTCAGTCGTCCAACTGACGTGGATCAAATTTCGACAATCAGACCAAACAAGACACTTGAGGTTGGGTTGAGGTGGCCTATGGGCTCTTAAAGGTTCTTGACCTTCTTGCCCGAACACTGCAAGGGTACATCGCATTGCCAGTTGAGCCACCCCTGATAATTGCCGTGCGGGCCATGGACTACTCCACGTTTGCATGCTCAATCTCGAAAGGAAGTGCTTTGATGCTCGGAGCAAGAGGTGTAAAGCCAGGGTGAGAGCACTCGATCTTGAGTATACATGGTGAAGATCAGTTGCGAGACACCGAGGATTTGGCGAAACGGGAAGCAGGCACGGGTTTTCGCAGCGACGAGAATTTGGAGTGGAGTCATGATGTATCGGAGCAATGTTGACAAGTAGCGCATCAGGCAGAGCTGCACAGGGGTCAAAGGAGAAAGGGCCACAGCCTCGACTTCACTACCCCCTTGAGAGATGTAATGATGGGAGTTTGAGGCTTAGACCGTGGAAAGTGTCCTATGCCAATGGGGACACCTATGAGGGAGAGGCGTGGGGCCAGCCGGGCCAGCCGGAGCTTTTCAGATTCGATTGGCCCAGCAGGGTCAAGTGTTGGAATATATAATGTTTTAGCCCGGAGTGCCGGAGGGCTACTCCACCCCATGGGCACCTACGAGACCACCACATATTGCCATATCTAAACACTGCATGCAGTCCCTAGTTGGATTTGCCGCTTCCTGGTCCATTGAAGCAGTTCGATTCAGATGAGTGCGACCCACTGGACCCTACCGCTGGAGCGAGATGGCGCAAGGCAACAGGGCCTACCCCGGCACAGTGCTTGCGCCATGGGTACGGTGTGTACACCTATGCCAGTGGGGGTCGTCAGAGGCTCAGGCACATTCAGACAATGGACATTGCTCTTTCGGCAGCTTTTTTGTTCGACTAGGCTATGAGGGCGAGTTTGTGGAAGATCGGAAGCAGGGCTGGGGATCCTTCTTTTTCGAGAATGGGGATGCCTATGAGGAGATCCCGGCATTTTGCACACTCAAAAGTGCCAAGCCATGGGCATTTGCAATTTCATGCTACTTGGGCCATTGTGAGACCCCAAGTGCAGGTCAGAAGTTCGGATAACACATAGTAGCTGATTATAGCTCATGATATAAATTAGAAGGAACTTGCGTTTTGCACAGGGGCAGTGGTATGCAGACCAGATGCACGGCCACGGCGTTTTGGCGCACTGGGCGCCGACGGAGGGGGTCCTCATTTATGAGGCCCGGGTAGCTTTGCTTAGTCTTAAGAAAGGTCCGCGAGAACAGCACTGGGGCTTTCTGTGGGACGTCCTAGTGCAACTTGCTGTACTAGTACTAGTTATTAACTGCTCAATCTCTTCCTTAACCGGTGTTGCCTTTTCATTTTCACAGATTTTCATCAGATCGATGACCTTTGCTTCATGATGCTTCGTGATGTCTCCTTTGGTGACTGCTCTCATGAATTGGCAGGGCGAGTTCCGGGAGGGCCTACGCTGCGGCAGCGGATTCCTGGTCGTGCGCGAGGGCGGTGGCCTCTTCGGAACTTGGGAGGAGCGTGAAACATGCGATGCATACAAAGCATGCGTGTCATCCGAGTGGGTTTGGGTGGGCCCAATATGTTGTGTATGATTTTGTCACCCAAAATTAAATTCCTCTGCATTCCAGCTTGGATGAAGACATTGCCACCTTCTCATGGACAAAGACATGTAAGATCTCTTACTCGTGTGCCTCCAGTAGCGCAGCATGGGAGGAAAGTCATGGAAACTGCTTGTGCCAGGATGGACTGTTAGTACAAGGTGTTCAATTGGAGCTCCCTGAGCCTGGACATATGGACTCTTGGCTTCAAAAGTCCTAAATTGATGGATGAATGAGCTGGTCGCCACCAAACGAGGAGAAATTGACAGGCTTTTGCTGTCTAGTTGTTTTGAAGTGTGCGTTCTGCCAGTGACAGATGCAGCTATTGCCAGCTGATGTCTCCAGGCTGTGACGGTCATCAGCGACAGCCAAACACCGTTGGGTGGAAGCCCCGCCGAGTGGCGTCCGTCTGAGGCGCCCGAATGGCACCTGGAGCACGCAGATCGCTCGATCCCAAACACCATCAAACACCTAGCCAAAGAACAAGGAGTCGCGTCAATGGCTTTAGAAAGTTCTGGCAGTTTGGACGTGTCAAGACTTTATCATGGATCAAAGACTTGGGACCGGCCAAAACAGACAAATTGGGACTGACACGGTTCGCTGATGAGCATCACCAATCTGTGCAGGTCCGGACTTGGTTACATGGCCTGGGTTTGGAAGAGGCACCAGAGAGGGCTATGGCACCCTCTGGAGGAGCCCAGCTCCTACAGGTCGGGGCTGGGTGGGGCGTGGATAGCCTCACACAGTCATGGCCACATGACCCCCTTCTGCACAGAAGATTAGAATGTTCTGCCGCAACATGCGCTATTCATTCTAGAACGTCAAAAGATAATTACCAGGTCTAACGATGAGAGAGGCGGATTGGAAGATTGCTGTGAGGGCATGTGAGCAGTGAGGCACAGCCAGAGGAGCTCGTGCAGGGTGGACAGGCAGGAGACTCAATCTCTGTGTTGTGATAATGTAACTGTGTGTGTAGACCACGTAGAGAGAGAGAGAGAGATAGAGAGATCCCACTAGCGCCTGGCATATGCTGGCCATTCATTCGTATGCTGTGCTGGCGGCACAAAAATTACAACGGATCGCACTTCCCATGTACCAACTGAAGCCGACATCATTCAACCCCTAAAGGTGAGCAGCGGCCGCTCTGAACTATCTGCTTGGAAGCACACCTTGGCTGCTGCCCATCAAGCCTTGGTCGATGCCTGCGCCATGGCTTCAATTGCATCCTGATGTTGCTGTCTTCATCTTCAGCTGGGATTCTGAGCATTCTATAGTCTATAGCGCTTCTCTTGGGGCCAGGCCAAGATGTCATGCCGCCCGTGGGCTGCTGGGAGCAGTTGCAGATTGCTTTTCCTTCTGTGAAGCAGCGCTTGGTGCCGCTTGCGGAGCACTCTTGTATTTTTCGGTATTGTCTTTGCAGTATATAGAGCCTTTCCTCAGATTCTTCGTGCGCTTCTTCATTGCAGATCTACAAAACATAGATTACACGGGATATACCGCACCTGAATGGTACCTCCAGGAGCTTGTCATCAACGAGGGGGGGCGAATTGCAGAATGGAGCCTTGGCATGCAGGTAGTGATCCTTTCGCTTTCCTTTGGCTCCCGCGCCATGCCAAGACTAAGTATCAGCAGAGGTGCCTATTGATGCCCAACTTGTGCACAAGTGATCGTGTTGAAATTTTGAAGATGCTCAAGAGACATGAAGCCTTCTACAGTGTTTCTAAGCATTTTGCGGGTCTCGAAGTACTTGAACTCACGAAGTTCCAAGCAACCAAAGAAA